TTGTATTTGACTTGAAACGCAGCCTGGATCACCTTGTCCGGCCCGCTGTCCAGCTGGTGCGGGATGACCTTCTGGAAGTACTGCAAGACAGCGGGACATGAGCTCGGCAGGCCGCTGACCAGTCCCTCGCATCGCCGCACATGGCCGAGGCCAGCTGCTCGCACACCGAGCCTCCAGCTCCAGCTGGGGGCGCCACAGACACAGCCAGGGAGTCAGGGAGTGACTCTTTACAGAATGAGCTGAAGTTGAACTCTTACTGTGCCTCTCATGGGAAGAGCAGCAGAGGCTGCAAATCAAAGCAGGCCTTGCTCAGAATATTGGAGAGGCTTGTTTTTGCCACACAAGGTTTTATCCGGCCACAATCCTGACATTCAAGCATGCCACAGATCCAATTCTAGAGAGGCAGAGAGTGAGAAAGGGATCGGCTCTCTCCTTTCAGGAGGTAACACTGCGAGATGTAACCAGCCTAACAAAAACAGAAATAATGCCAGCAAAAGGTTGTCTTGGGAAGAAGAAGTCATTTCTTGGTTTCAGAAAGTTTCCTCCCGGTAGATGTAAATGTGGGCTTCAAAAATGTGTGTGCAGTAAAAACTACAGCATCTTGTCACAAAATCCTTATTGTTTAAGAAGAAATGACGTCTTACCTGTAACATTCCCTCCATGTCAAGCTGCATTAGTTCTGCTTGATTCATTTGCAGGATAGCTAATCCAACACGGAACACAATCTCTAAACCCTGCCGAGAAAGGAACACAAAGTGATGTTAACCGTTAAGCAGGGAGCTGCGCCAGCATGCATAGGCTGCAAAGGAAAAGCCTAAGCCTATGCCACAGCCGAAATGTGTCTCTTTTCTTTCCCTTTCAGCATGGAATGAACCTTGAATGTTAACAGTGCCTTACAAAATTAGATGCAATGATGCATCTCAGAGTCAATTACTTTTGTCTGCCAGCAGGTGGCCACCTCTGCCTTTGAGCCGATGACAGCAGGCCTCTCCTCTCCTGAAGCCCGGCATGGCAGACACCTGTGCTGAACATCAGCTTCCTGATTGCTCAACGACTGACAACAGTCCTTTCTCTCGGAGAGAAGGGGATATTAACCGCAGGGTAAAAAAAAAAACCAAGCAGCAGAACAGAAAAAAAAAACAAGTGACTTGTATTTTGATGTAGCGAAAACAGTGATATTGCAGTCTATAATCTGATTAAAAGAGAGATGGGTTTTTGAGAGTCAATGGACCAGAATGTGCTTGAGCTGCTGTGAGCCTGCACACTGCGGCTGGCCTTCTTGCTCTCAAGAGACATGAGCCTGTCCCCTCGAGGATCTGTAGACCAGAGCTCCAGCCACCCGGCACGGCAGGAGCACAGACTCACCTCACACATGAAGACGTCAAAGATCCTGGTGGCCACAGACAGGGGGAAGGAAGTGAGGAAGATGGTGAGAAACCAGGAGGAGGCGTACATGGAGGTGTGGAAGCTCTGGGCCTGGAAGTGCACGTGCAGCTCAGGGAGCTGCTCCTGGAGAGACACGCGGACAGTCAGAGCGCAGCTTGGGGACGCCGGCCACAGGACTCGCGCGCAGCCTGAGCGTGCCATACCGATGACGGAAAGCACAGCACCCGAAAGCTCACCTCACGTCTGGAAGCTGAACCCAGAAAAGGCACGAGCTTGAGCTATCCCCCACCAGCTTTTGCCTATGGTATGAGAGGATGCCACTAGCAAAAACCTGAAATGGATCAAACTGCTCCATAGTGGGAGTTTGTGTGAGGGGGGCATTCTGCTCATGTCACAGGCACCCCTTTACAACAGCTTGGAATCCAGACTGGCAGTGGTTCAGAACAGCACTTTACAGCAAAGCAACTCCGCGTTTAGCCCGAGTGCCCCCCCTGTGCAGATCTGCCCTGTGCAATGGTCAAGCTGCTGTGCCCAGGATGCTCGAGCGCGCAGGTCTTCACCCTTACCTGAATCATGCACTCAAACTGGTACATGCAGAGCCCCAGCTCCGCCATGCTGGGTTTGAAGAGCTCTCTCAGCCGGTAGTCTTGCATTAGTTTCACAAACACACAGAAGGCTTCCTCTTCTGGCATCTGCGTGGAGAGAGCATACAAACAGGCTTCAGTACTCTTCCTGCCCCCCAGTCCTTACGACAAAGGAGGCTTCATGCCTCCAGACACAGCCGGCTGTGTGTTTCGGATCTGGGCACTGATATCTCATAAAACAATTCAGCGCCTAAGAAAGCAGCTCTAATCTAGCCACTAATTTCAATCAATTCTGTAAGTAAACTGCACTGCAGTTGCAGAAACATAAGACATCTGTGCATAGTTTGGGCTTTAGATAGGACTCTGTGTTTATTTGAGATTACTAAGGAAAACGGAGCGAATTGCAAGTGTCTTTCTGATCATTCTTTAGTATACTTGATCGCTTTTAATCACTCTTTCCTTTGAAAACAAAACCATGCACAAGTATGGGAAATCCCGGGCTTCAGAAAAACTCCCAAATCTCGAAAGGACGAAATACACAAGAAGCACAAGGACGCTTTCTCACCTGCATGAGCAGCAGTCCGACAATGAAAGCACTCCCTTGGCAGTAGCCAACCTCCCGGTCAACCAGGGAGTAAGCCTGCAAAGACAGGCATGTGAGTGTGGGAAACAGCTGCACACATGTCCACACCCTGTCTCTCCTCAGCCTGCGCCCGGGACACAGGCTGCTCGAGCTGCACAGGTTACAGCTGTGGCTCTTGGGGAGAGAGCCCAGCTGGCTTTCTGTTTTTCACGGCAGGCAATTCCAGTTGCCACCACAAAAACTGGAATTGCAAAAAAATGTAACGTAGAGACACGCATTTAAAAGACTTTTTTTTACGTGAATCACAGAAAATCCTTACAGCAGAGGCTAGCCTCGGTAGCACATTACTTAAAAATAGTTAATAGAGGATGGCAGAAAAAGACTTCTTTCCCTTTGGTGCAATCAAAGAGTTCTTCTTGAGGACAGACGGGGCATGATGGAGTATATTCAATGGCAATAAGCAGTTTACATTCATTGCAGATACAGGGAGGAGGACTCCCTGTAATCTGACAACACCTGTAAATCTAGTGTTCCACTAGGTGGTGCTATATATATTATTGAGGCACAACCACTTGTTGGGAAGGTGTGTGGTTATCACTAGTACACAGCGCCACCTAGTGGCAATCCACAGATGGTCCTCCACCCTTCACTTGCAAATCCTATGGCTAGAGCCTGAAAATAAAATTAAAACTTCTCTTCACATTAAAAAGAAGAGCTGCAAACCACACAGAAACACAGGAAAAGGAAATGGAGTCACCAAAACTTGGCCTTCAGGGTTGAGGGCCAATCCTCTAGTGCTCCCGAACTGGAAGAGCCCTGACCTTCATGACGTTGAAGAGCACCTCCTGCCCCAGGCTGTCCTTCTCCTTGAAGAACTCGTGCTCGGGGTAGGTCCGTGCGATGTCCCGGCGGATGAGCTTCTCGCAGGGCGATGTCATCTTCAGCAGCTCGGAGTACTGGTCCTTGATGGGCATACTCTGCGCGTTGCACAGCAGCTGCCAGACGATGGCCCTGAAGTGGTGGGGGATCCCCTTCCTGACGAGCTCCTGCGCGGAGAGGGGCGCGGCCCGCGTTAGTGAGGCCAGCCTCACCGCGAGCAGCTCACCGCGAGACGCACGCACCCTAGCCAGCTCCGCGGCTGCAGGGGCTGCCACCTTTCATGAAGCGACCGCGGTATTATAAAGAAGTGATTTATTACTTAAACAGTGGCCAACGCCTGCTGGGGAGGGGATTGGGGAGACGCATGGAGCAGAAGCCATTCACTAGCAAGACATTAACGCACTGCGACCATGTGGCATTTTGTTTGCATCTTTAAACAGTCCCTGTATGAGTGTGTGTGTGTGTGCGCGCGTGTGCGTCTGCGGGCCCCCTGCGATGGGCTGGCACCTGTGCAGCGTTTTTTCTGCCTCGCACCTCTGGTCCACCACTCTAGGCTCCGGCTCACTGCGAGTTATTGGAAATGGAGGAATTTTCGTCTGGCAGTAGGACCGATGTTTTCCTGCCATAATCTTACTTACGGTTAGTAAGATAAACTGCATCCGCTTTTCATAACTAACAGTCAGAAATGCAGTAGACCTACTGGTCTGATGTGATATAAGATTACTGGAGGAAGAAAAGACGTCATTTGCATTTCACAGGTCTCGTCGTGATTCAAAAGTCCTCGGTTGTTTTTGATGACAAAGAGAATAAGATCAGCTTGAACGTCAGCGACCCTCTCGGTCTCCCCAAGGGGGAACCAGATATCCTTTCTGGCCTCTGACGCCGTACCACGGTCTAGTACCTGTCGGAGACACTGCTTACGCCACAGCTGACAGAGAAGACACTCCGGACACAATATGAAGTGATCCACCCGGACAAATCCATAAGCAAAATCCATAAGTACAAATCTAGTAAACATGGATACAGGGAAAACGGCTTTGGCTGCTGTTAAAATCCAGAGCCAGGTGGAAGGTCTATGATCGGAAACGCAACGACAAATAGCACAGCACTGAGCCAGGGTGTCACAGAGATCTGGAAATAGATGAGAGGGGGGCTTTTGTGTCTTCTGACAACAAATCTGACAACACCAGGACTTGGCCTCGGGGACGTGACTGGATCACAGGACTCGAGTCACGAAGCAAAAGCTCAAGCGCTGGCAAAGATGAAAGGAGGAGGTGACCCGAGGCAAGACCGTGTGCACAGAAGCAGCTCAGCAGGGCAGCCGGCTCACAGTGGTGCTGCCTCTGTAACCACAGGGTCCAAGACCTAACACTGCTCCTCTGAAGAGCGCCACAACCGGATCTCCAGAAACGCAGTCCTGCTTTCGATTCTGGGCCGGAGTGGGACGTCTGCAGCGGACCTGGACCGGTGCCGGAGGGAGTTTCTGCGCCGCTCCCTGCCCCTCCCCCTCTTCCTCCATGGGCCTCACCTTGAGCTGCTTCTCCTTCTTCTTGCGCACTTCCTCCCACTCGTTGACGACGCGGCCCCAGAGGATCCAGGAGTCCTCCTCCAGGTGGCCCAGGTTGCTGGAGGCCGAGGAGCTGGACACCAGCGAGGAGCCGCTGTTCCTGCGGGAGCCGTTGACCGAGCGCAGGGACTTGCTGTCCGTCTCCAGGAGCCTGTGGGGCAGACGGCACGCGTTACAATCCAGGGCGGCGCGCCGGGGACCCACGCCGTGCAGTCCCGCCCCTGCTGCCCTTAACGAGCCAGACCAGCGGCTCACTGGCTGCACTGGTCCAGCTCAGCGGCTGCTTTAAAGAGCACCTGACACCCCTCCCCTCCGGCACCAGGACCGGACACCCCAGTGCAGACTGGCTAGGCCTAGAAACATTCCCCACGGCAGAGTTTGGGACTTTGCAGGTTCCCAAAAAAAAAAACAAAGCCCTTTAGTCAAAATGTGCTTCAAAACCATTTAAAAGGATGATCTCAAACTTCAACTGGACAGAATAAAGCTATGCAGTAGTTTTGTGTTGCACACTGAAATAAAGCAGAACCCAGCACCGGTGGTGTAGTGTACAATATTCACCTACCTTAGGTAGTCCATCAGCATGATCTACACTTCCTGACCCCACACGAACAAACAGAACTTGAATTCAGTCAAACCACGCGTGAGATTTCACTAAAGTAAATGTCCGTGGCGAACGTCAGTACTGTCAAAGTTACCCCTGGAGACGGTACATTCTGCATCAGCCCTTTTGCTAAAAATCCAAGAAACTTCCTCTCTCGAAGCTTTTGTAGTTAAGTTTTCTATACCGTTTCCTCTTTTCTAATCGATTTTCTGGATGGACATGAATATCCAGTTTCGGCAGGGGCAAACTGTATACCGCACCTCCAGTGCGAACAGAGACCTTTATCACAGCACAGGAGAACCTGGCCTTGTGTGCCGGAGGCGTTTGTTATGACTCGCCTGGTACAATGGCTATGACATTAAAATGTTCCAGTAGGATGCACAATAAATACCCAAACACCTACCATCTGCCCTAAGCATCAAAGGTTAAGTTTAATGACCTATAGAGATCATTTCTGGCAAACAAACTGCTGTCTTGGGTAGACATCATTAAAAACAGCATATATCAACTCTTCCACAGCAGGCCGCCCACTGAAGCTCAGCAGGCGTGAGCCTGGTCAGTACCGGGATGGGAGACGTCCCGGGAAAGCTAAGGCTGCTGCTGGAAGAGGTCAGTAGGGGGACGCTCACCCTGCGGTCTGTGTGGGTCCGAATGCCCCAGTATAGTGAGTGTGGCTGCACACTGGTGGTGGTAGAGCAGACATCCCATCACCTGTAATGTACTTTGAGTGGAGCATCCAGAAAAGTGCTATGTAAGTATATGGATTATAAATACAGCATCTAATTTGCTTGGATGTTGGTAACTACTGGCCTACCAACAGTAGAGTATCCACCTCAACAACATGGCTGGGCAAATCACTCCACACTCCCACCACCCTCTGTGTATAGAAGTGCCTCCTTTCGCCTAGTTCACAGGTTACACCTCTATTTCCAGCAATACAGTCACTCACAGAAAACACATCCCCGAACTACACGTTTGTTGAGCTCCTTCAACTGGTTTTGGTCTTGACAAATATGCCAGTGGCTCTCCAGGCAGCTCCACTTCCCAGCTCCCCAGGGGGCCAGCAGGAGCCCCATAGATCAGGCAAAGGTGCGACAGACCCCCCCTTGTGAAAAGAGCCGGCGCAACGCCGGAAGCCCACCAGAAAGACCGACAGTGCTCACAGCAGCCGGAAGCATGGTGTGCGTATTGAAATCCCACTCCACTGCTGCTCAAGACAGCTGGAGCACCAGGAACCAAGACACCTTCCGGCCCCGTGCTGGAGGAGAGGACACTTAACTACACAGCGCCCGGCTTCAAGGGCTCACGGACAAGCCTCTCGGAGTCATCCCGCATCCCGCGACACTCACAGCTGCCATCAAAGGCACCTCTGAGCAACACCCCTTCAGTGCTGCAAGAGCCATGTGCCTGCGAGACAGTTCCAGAGCTCCCAGCCGCGGGCTGCTCGGCTGAGGTCACGCAAACAAGATTAAAGCCTTAAAAGACGTCTCCCAAATCAGTCGTGATTAGCGTGGCTAACGTGCAGCGCAAACTTCCAGAGGGACGGCAACAAAGGGTTTATGTCTGACATAGAGACAGGCTGGTTCACCAGCTCTGCACTCCTGACCCTAAGGGAAGGGGTTTTCATCCTCAGTCTCCCTACAGCAGTGAAAAAATGAGGCGCCATTAGCCCGTCACTCTTGCGGTTTGCTTGTCCAGGCTACACTCCCCCCCCCCTCGACTGCCGGTCAGCCGCGACGGGCGCAGCGCGGACATGGGAACTCGATACCCACACGAGCAGCTTCTGTGGAACCGGTGAAGCAGCCGCGGGGAGCGGCTTCTCCAGAAAAAGAGAAACCCGATCTCGGAAACTGCTGGTACACGTTTCGTGACAGCACGGCAGGGGGTTGCGACTGAAAGACGGAACAGCTTCTCTCAGAAAGACAGCGGCTTTTTGACAGCTTCTTTTAAACCGCAGGGAAAGCATTTCACACTACAAAAAGACCTGTTGTCCAATAGCATCGGCTTTCTCGGTGTAAAAACCGTTTCCCAGGTCATTATAGTCTAGTGCGGTTAAAAAGGAAAGGATCGGAGCGACCCTCCTCTGTGTCACAAGGACGTCCACGTGAGGCCGATGTTTTTCTCTGGCACTGCCGACCCCGATACCCTGCAGCAGGGGCACTGCTGAAACAGCCTCAGGATAATGCGTCTCGCAGGTAATTACATCACATCGATGTCAGTCCCCAAGTGTGCCACTGGTGAGATGTACTGCCATCCATTTTTATTTTTACGCCTAGTGTCTTGCTGGGAGCTCTGAAAGCGCTGCAGGCCTCATTTGAGCTGGTTATTGAGAAAAGAAAAATGGAAAATTTCAGACCTATGCAACTATTAAACTGGAGAATGCAAATGCCTTTTCTGATTTATGGGTTACAAAAGGATTTTACTCAGGGAGAAATATTGTCTACTACCTTACAGGACAAGAGAACCTAGTTGTGTAGCTATCAACTGACAGTATTTTCCCTTGAGTCTCCTACAGATCATAATGGGGAGTACAGTTCACTTCACATCTTTTCTCTTCAGAAACACCACTAAGCAATGTGCTCAACAAGACTTACAGAACCGCGTAGCCTGAGTGCTATTAAGCCAAGGCTGTGCAGATCAGATGCCCTCGTCTGAACCGCGCGGAGATGCATCAGCCTCTACAAGGGGAAACGAGACGTTTCACCCTCTTTCGCGCGCTGCTGGGTGAGCTTTCACAGTTTCGCTTGGGAGTGTTCGCAGCTACCCGAGCCGCCAACAGCTTCCTTTACCCAGAAGGTCAGTTTCTGAATAACAGAACCGCACTGCATTTCATTCACTGCAGATGATGCATTGCTCAGGAAGTTTTTTGGGCGTTTGTCATTTACTAAAAATAAACATGGATATTTTTTTTAATAAGAACACAAGTGGTGGCAGACGGAGTGAAAACAATCAGTCTGCGCCGACAGCTGTGGCCTCTGCTTTGGCTGACCCAGTTGGACAGCACACACTGGACAGTGCGTCACGTATAGCCAACCGATCCACAAATGCACAAACCTAAAGCCCAAACCAGAGTAAAAAGCCTGCAAATAATCTGCAGCACTGTGTCTTTAAGAGTGCACAGCCCCACAGAATGCCTTGGGCTCAAGCAGCATTAAATAGCTGCATATGTTAAGCTTTTTATTAGCCAAATTTAGCAATGCAATCCCATGATTAAAATGTCGATCATGTTCTGTTTGGGCTGCACTCTGGCCTGAAGTTGTCCTCCAGGGGGATGGACCTCCAGCACAGGGCCTGTTCCGATGGAGAAAAAAGGCCACATTGTGTCCTTCATCCATATTTTTTCCACAGTGAACTAAATTCTTCACAAGCATCCCTACAGCCAAA